GGTGTTGGGAGCAGCGTTATTGTCGAAGAGTAATGAAAGTTAGTGCCTTGATTTGTTCTCTGTTTTGTAGTGGTTTATTTTGTTTGTTCGTATTCACTTTCGCATTTTTTAAATTCAAATAATTTGCTTAGTTACTTGAAAGTGTTTCAAGCGCTCAATGATACATCTATCGATAGTTTGAAAATTGATTCATTTTAGTTGACAAACGATGAATATCATCAACCTTAAGGTCTTAAAATTGAAATTTCAGTCTTCGTACCAGCGCTATTGAATCTGCCAGAATCAGTTCAAGTAACAGCAATGTACGTCGTGCAGAAGATTGAAGCTATTCCAGTGATCAGTGATGACACATCAACTACGGAACATTCAACTCGTGAGACATCGGTGAGAGATTATTTAGGGAATATTAGTTGAGAGAAAAGGACAGTTCAGTGGCTGGAGTTGAGCACTTTTAATGGAAACTTAATGAGTTGGGTCATTCTGAAAGTGTTTTACTTTTTTAGGAAAACTTGTTCAAATATTGGGATTATTATATTATTGTGTAGAGAAGTTTGTTGAATTTATTTTTGAGACTGTATCCGAGAAGTCGAATGAACAGGTGGCGGCGCTAAGCGCTGATGTGGAGCATTTGCATTCGGAACGAGATCGATTGAACAGAGAGGTGAGATTCATTTGTGAGATTTATTTGAGTATTCTACAAGACAACATATGAAGTGTTAAGTATTCGTGTGGTTCAGCTTAATAGAATCTTATTTACTGAATACGATTGAGAAGTTGATTTGGAAAATAAGATGCAAAATTACTCTATATCTTTATTTTTGTTTTTGATCTATGGTTAGTTTTAGTCGATTCCATTGTGATTTTGATATGGATTATATGGAGTTTGAATTTGTTGTTGGATAATTTTATAGATGAGGTGACTGGAATTTTTGAGATGTTGTGTATTGCTCTTAAATGATTGATGATGTCTTTGTCTTTTGAATTTTGATTTGATTTTTGTGATGAATAGGAAATTGAAATGAAAATCGTGTTATCGTGTGTTGGAAATGATTCGGACGGAAGAATTTGTATCATTTGAGAGTTGAAATTGTATGTGAATATAATATTGTATGGTTATATTAGGAGAGAATTGAGTGAATGAAGAGAAATTATTTATGGATTTATAGTTGTGAGTGTGC